ACACACACACACACACACACACACACACACACACAAATCGTACAACGCGTTGAGATAGAGGAACAGAGAAAGAGAACAGGTGTGAACGCGATGACATCAGGTAAAAACGCTTTGTGTTCGCAGGGTAGGCCAACACGACACAGGTCAGGGTTGGGCGGACAGGTACGGTCAACGCCCGCGTTCTTTAAATAGCTTTACTGTGACGCTTTCGTCAAGTTTTAGTAAAAGAATTTTAACTGCACTTGCAACATAATTAAACCATAAAACTGCCGCCATTGTGATGTAAAATATTGATGAATCATCGTATTTATTTCACCAACAGAGGGTGAGTCACACTTTGCGGGGGGGGGGGGGGGGGGGGGGGTTCATGGTTCACATTCAAAACAAAACCTGAATTGTATAATAATTAAATTGAGGAAGTTGTTGCATTGAAGAGCAAAGTGACAAAATACAGGACGGCCCGTATGAACGACGGCGTATCAGAGCCTAAAAAGTTGTCTTGCTTTATATATCTGGTAAACTGAGATGGGGCGAATATGTTGCCCCAAAGAGGTATTAGTTTTCGTTTTAGTTAAGTTTTAGAAGCAAAGGTTTTACGGTATTTGCAACACAATTTGGTTATGTAAGTGCCGAAGATTAGCGGTGTTACGAGAGAGTAACATACAAATAAAAGAAGGAGGAGAGATCAGGACGGGTGGTCCAGTGGTTAGGCTACCAGACTCGTAATGGTGAGAATGCGGGTTCGAGGCTTTGGGCCTCAGCCCGGTCCGACGTTGTGTCCATGAGAAAAGCACTTTACACGAATGTCCCATTTGGCTCGGTCCTTTCGGAGATGGATGTTAAACTTGAAGGTCCCGCCAAATAACATAACAGTGTTTGAAAGGGGCGTTAAACTTATGCCATTTATTTCATCATTTTCAAAGATCAAGACGATAGGTGTTTGGTGGGAAAGAAGAATCAAACAACAGCACGGGGGCCCTCGTGGCCTAGAGGTTAAGTTGTTCGCCTCTCATTCAATAGGTTCCGGGTTCGAATCCTGATAGCAACAGGTTTTTTGTTCCTCTAAAATTTCCTCCTTTCACATCCTTTTCTGCTCTCTAGCAATGTTCTGTCGTCAGCTTTCGTCTCCACTTTCTACCCCCACCCCTTCACATCCTTTGCCCCCTCCTGTGGGCTCCTGACTCTTTCTGCAGTCTTTCTATTGCATCTCCTTGGCCCCTTCTTACTGCTATCTTTCAGCCACACACCTGATCTTATAGTAGGTAAGATCTACACCTAGCCTTCTCGGAAAAGGGTGAAAAATCTCGGAGGTCCTGTGTGCAAGTTTCGCACGTTAAAGATCCCTTGGTGGTCCAAAATCAATAAGAGTAAGCTTCGCCGCCACCCGGGTAAAATTCAAAATTTCCTACCAACTGTAAATGTATGCTTGGTGTGTCCCGCGCACTCATATGACCTTATGCAGTAGCGAGCGCCGCAACCCCCCTCCCCAAAAGCCCAACAACACCACAGCACCCGCTAAACACTAGGGAGGTATGCGGAAGTGACGTATGGTTAGGCTCTTCACTTTGCACGTGACAGATGTGAGTCTGAGTATCACGGGAAATGTGAGTCTGAGTATCACGGGAAATGTGAACACATGTCGTGTTTATTTGATCGCTTTTAAGCACAAGGGGGCTATCCCGAAGAAATGCTGTTATGAGAAAATCGAAGACAAAGTGTTTGCCCCTTGTTCAGTTTCTTTAAAGAAACGAGGAGAGATTTCTCTATAACCAAACAAATATACTCACAAATGAAACCAAACTTCCCCTATAGGTAGGGCAATGCCCACTTTTGGTTTGGTCAAGATTTCTGGAAACCCCCGGAATCTGGGTTAGCCTGCTTGTCCTTAAAAGCTTCCTTTTCTTCTCCTTTTTGTTGGGATCAGTTCTCTCCCACACTATGGCAGTTCACTCAGGACATCAGTTGAAAAGCCCGCTTACTATCTGATCCACTTTCTGTCAGGGTTTTTTGTGTGTTTTGGGGGGTAGGGGTGGGATGGGGTGTTATATATTCCCACTCTAACAACAGCAACAGATTAATTATTTAACAACATGTATTAACATCTCAATAGATTAATTATTTAACTAAATTATGTATTAGCACCCCAGTTTAGTTTAGTTTTAGTAAGAGTTATACGGCACTTGAAACACAATAAGGTCATATAGGTGCCGAAGAATAGAGTATGTGTTACAAGAGAGTAATATACACAAAAAAGAAGGAGGGGAGATAAGGACGACAGATGTTTGATAGGAAAGAAGGAGCAAACCACACCAGAGCACCCGCCAACCACCCACCGTAGCATCTCAAAAATGAACCAAACGATACAATTAATTTAAATTATAAGTGGAGAAAAAAAAACCCACGAAAAAGAAGACAAAATACAAGAACCGTGCCAACCTGCAAGGGGCGGGCCCAGAGCCCCAGACACGCCCATGAAGAAGAGCAGGATGCCATAGGCTTGGCCCACCCTCGCCACGCCCATCAGTTCCACGGTGACCACAGGGGCCAGAGACACGTAGCCACCTGGGGTAGAAAATATATCATCATCATCCAGTGCCAGATCTGCGACAGACATCGGCAATCATGGTTCTCCATTCATTCATTTGCTCGGATGCTCTCAAAAAAGCTACATTTCCCTGATATTTCCCTGTTACCCATTTGTTTAGGTAACCCAAGTATGTTGTTCTAGGTCTTCCCCTGCCTCGCTTGCCCTCAATTTTGCCAGTGAGAGCTAGGTGTTCAAGACCCTTATGTCTATTTATGTGTCCCAAAAACTGCATTTGTAGGATTTGTAGGGGTGGTTAATGAGTACCTTGAGTATCTACGAAGGGTGGGGAGGTGGGGGAGGGGGGCAGAAATATTTGACGTTGCCATCAGCTAACGGTTTTGATATTGACTTCAGACAGAAGAGCAAAGCATGTGATATTTATCTATAACACGTCTATTGAGCATTCCATCTAACAGTTTCGATATTGACTTCCGACATTTAAGCGATGCACACAATATGTATCTGTAACACATCTATTGAGTATTAACAAGGACAGATCCGAAAATAAAGGGAGTAGCCATCTAAGTCAAAAAAAATTAATTCAGACTTAAGAGCAAAACACATAATGTATCTATAACACGTCTACTGAGTATGTACGAGGGTGAATCAGAGATGAATAGTTGAAGTTGCCGTCCTTGGCTTTGATATTGACTTCAGACTTTCAAACAATGCACCCGGTGTATGTGTATCACGTCTTTTTTGTCTTGTTTTTAAAACAATGCACCCGGTGTATGAATATCATGTCTTTTTTGTCTTGTTTTTGTTAAGTGTTTTACGGCGCTCGCAACTGCATAAGGTCATATGAGCGCGCGGGACACACCTAATATTTTCAGTTGGTAGGAAATTTTGAATTTTGCCCGGATGGCGGCCGAAGCCTACTCTTATCGATTTTAGACCACCAAGGGATCTTTAACGTGCGCAACTTGCACACGGGCCCTCCGAGATTTTTCGCCCTTGTCCGAGAAGGCTAGGTGTAGATTTCCCTACCAGAAGATCAGGGGTGTGGCAGAAAGACAGCAGTTAGGAGGAGCCAAGGAGTAGCAGTAGAAAGGCTGCAGAAAGAGCCAGGAGCCCAGAGGAGGGGGCAAAGGAGGTGAGGGGGTGGGGGCAGAAAGTGGAAATGAAAGCAGACAACAGAACATTGCTAGAGAGCAGGAAAGGAGGTGAAAGGAGACAATTTTAGAGAAGAAAATTTTTCGGTCGCTGCCCGGATTCGAACCCGGGACCTTTGAATGAGAGGCCAACACTTTAACCTCTAGGCCACGAGAGCCCCCATATCACGTCTATTGAGTATCATCGAGGATATATATTATATATAAGAAAATAATTGAAGTTGCCGTCTAACGGCTTTGATATTTTAATTCACACATAAGGGCAATACACATACTGTATCTATAACATGTCTATTGAGAATCATCGAAGGTGGATCAGACGGGATGTAAGTTGCCATCTAACAGTTTTGATACTGACTTCAGCATAAAAGCAATGCACTTAATATTTATCTATAACTCGTCTATTGAGTATCTACGATGGTGGGTCAGAAATAACAGATCAGAAATAACATCTGAACAGAAATTTCTATACGTTTGAAGGTGGATCAGAAATAAAATATTATTTAGTATGGAATTTTTCATCTAACGACTTTTATATTGACTTCAAGGTATATGTATACCACGTCTATTGAGTATTTACGAGCGTAGACCTGAAAATACTGAAAGTCGCCATCTATCTGCTTTGTATCTTGACTTCAGACATTAAAGCAATGTACATGATTTATCTATAACACTTCTATTGAGTATCTACGATGGTGGGTCAGAAACAACAGATCAGAAATAACATCTCAATAGAAATATGTATACGGTTGAAGGTGGGTCAGAAATCAAATAGATCTATTATTTAATAATAGCAGTTGCCAGCTACCAGCTTTGTATCTTGACTTCAGAAGTTAAAGCAATGCGCATAATGTTTTTCTATAACGCTTCTATTGAGTAACTTCAAGGGTGGATCAGATATAGATGATGTGATTAGATATCTTACAGCTTTGATGTTAACTTCACACATTAAAACAATGAATATAATTTATCTATAATGCGTATATTGAGTAACTATGAGGGTGGGTCGGAAATGAATAATGGAAGCTGCCATCTGACGGTTTTGATGTTGACATTGGTCACAAAAGCAGCAATATACAAAATTTATGTATAACAGGTGGTGCCTACTTATTAAACCAATCGTTGTATTTTCGTGTCATGTCACACATACTTAATTTATGACGTCATAAACATAATAAGAGTAGGCTTCGGCTGCCACCCAGGCAAAATTCGAAATTTCCTCTACCAACTGAAAATGGTCAAAGTGTCTCGTGTACTCATATTTCCTTATGCAGTTGCAAGCGCCGTAAAACACTTACCAAAAAAAAAGAAAAAAAAAAAGAATAACTTGCCTCCTAAGGGGCCAACAAGATGGGGTTCACAAAAGAAAACATTCGTTTCTACACATCAACTTGAAAATTTCATGTTCACAGCGTTACACGCTTTTGAGATACCTAACAACTTCCATAATTTTAGGATCCACCCCCGTATGTGTTTGTTTGTGTTGATGTGTATACCTTTCAGATCTCTCACGTCATGTCGCCATCAAATCCTCCAAGTCCGTCTCCTTTAAAACAACTCAAATCTTTTTTCATTACGTCACTCAAATCGTTCTTCTATAAAATCGTTAGAAATCAAGTCTTTCCCCAAACAAATCTGTAAAAATCTCCCTCTTAGTTGTCATATCATTCAAATTATCTACTCGTCGAATTTCAAAGATAATGTACCTCTCTCATTATATATCAAATCGCTAAAATCTACCCTAGTCATACTTAAAATTACTCACCTATCATACGTCTCATCGACCAAATCAGTCCCTTAAATCGCGGACCAATCAAAGCATTCCTCCTCCCCGATCTCCACCTACCCCTCCTTCCTTAGTCATATAATCACTCACCTCTCACCTCCTCCATACAAACCACTCACCCATAAAGATCCCGAAGAAGGCTGAGTAGACTCCATGCAAGACGAGACTCCCACCACACACCGGACTCATGCACGTGCCAGCCCCACACACCGTGAGCGTGAGCACGTACAACACCACGCTGTCCACACAAGGGAGATCACCCAACAGTCCAAACAGAAAACGGCCCAGCAGGTTACCGATTCCATTAATAGAAACCAAAATAGCGGCTGATGACTTGTCAATGCCCGCTTCCACAGCACGATCCACCATGTAGAGAATGGGCATGAGGAAAGACAGGTTTGTGAAAATGTTACTGAGGGCTAGAGAGAAGAAGATCTTGTCTTTGAGCAGTGAGAAGTGGTCAATGAGGTAGTGTAAACCTCGAACAACGGCATTGCCTCGCGGTGTTGTCCGTACGACGGGGGTCTCCTTCAAGGAGTCTACATCCCCTTCCTCTGGCACCGTTTTGCTGGCCAGAGTGTTATAATGAAGGCTATTTTTAGACCCGAGTTTCTCGTCAGCCATTCGTAAACTGTACAAACTACCACACATCAACATGTCTATATTTCGGAAGCTGCTTTTCCGACTCCCCGAGTCACTGCCCTGACCTGCAGGATTCGAACCCAAACCACCAGGAGTAGAGAGCCGCAGCTCTGAGACACTAGAGAACTGGCGTGGGTTCACGTCGCTGGGTGACCTGGCGTGAAGATGTTGGTAGCTTCCCCCCATCCCCGTGCGCCCGGATGATAACCGATCGACATCCAGGAATTTGTTGACCGGACGTTGGGGCGTGGTCGTCTGATGGTCTGGCGACTGACCAGAGGGGTCGTGGTCTGGGGATAGGTGAGAGGGAGAGGGAGAGAGAGAAGTTCCTGACGGGGGCTCTCCGTTGTCAAGTCTTTCTGTAACAGACGCCGCGTCCTTCTCAGGGAATCCCCCTTGGCCATGATGACGTTTGACCCCGTCAACCAAAACGCTGGTGTCCTCGAGCTCGTCTCCCTCGCCATCCTTCTCCGCTTCCTGCTCCACGTCCAAATCGTAACGGCCGAAATTCGCCCGTGGTTTCATCAGGAGCGCCGGGATGTTCAGATGGAGATGAATGGCCGAAAGAATGAGCATGGCGCCTCGCCAGCTGTATCGATCCTCCAACCAGTTGATCAGCGGCGCCTGCAGAAAGGAACCGATACCGACGCCAGCAGTGGCGATACCGTAGGCCACCGCACGTCGCTTGTTGAAGTATTCGGCTATCATAGTCACGGCGGGAAGATAGTTGAAGCCAAGACCGATACCTGTGGGAGAAATGTTATAAAGGTCAAGGTTACGTTGAAAGAAGTGGGTGAGGGATAATGAGAAAGGAGGAGGTAGGTGGTGAAGAGACTAGAGTGAAACAAAAATAGGAGTGCGACGAGTATTAATTCTAAATCAAAGTGGGCATAACAACCAGATACGGGGAACAGTTAGCACTTCAGATAATTATGGGTCTAGACCACAACAGTGAGCTTTGTACAAATTATACTCTCACCCATTGGATGGTTGGCGGGTGCTCTGGGGTGGTTTGCTTCTTCTTTCCTATCAAACATCTATCGTCCTTATCTCCCCTTTTTCTTTTTATGTTTGTTACTCTCTTGTAACACCTCTAATTTTCTGGCGCTCATATGACCTTATGCAGTTGCGAGCGCCGTAAAACATCTACTAAAAATACTCTCACTCAGAAAAATGGAAGCATAAGAAAGTGTCTCCATGAAAATGTAACAAAATCACTAATAACATCACTACTTGAACTGCCCAGAAAAATCATTATTGTTATCGTTCACCTCTTTCACTCCGGTATTTGGTATAGACCGCTAGGAAGGACTCTCCGTCTATCTCTGTTCTGGGCGAACCTCTCTGCCCCCAACTAGCTGTGTCACGTATGCCTGAGATCTGCCTCTGTAATATCTCTCTCCCAAGTAGATTTTGGCCTTCCTCTCTTTCTCTTTCTGGGAGTTTCCATCGAAGGTTTTGTCTTGTCACGTTGTGGGCTTGCTTCCAGGGTCTGTGTCCAACCCATCCCCATATTTTTGGGGGGTTAATCTCAAGGTCAATCTGTTGTTGTTTGGTTCGCCTCCATAATACGACATTTCTGATTGTGTCCAGTGGATTTTCACGATTTTCTTAAGGCAACCATTTATGAAGGACTGTAAGACACAGAGAGAGAGAGAGAGAGAGAGAGAGAGAGAGAGA